CTCTCTCTCTCTCTCTCTCTCTCTCTCTCTGTCTCCCTCTCTCACACACACACACACACACATATTCGCACACACACACAAACTAGTAGACCCACCCTGCAAACACTGGTTGTGATACTGGTCTGCCTGCTGATAGTAAGACTGCATCTTGTGAGTGATGATGTCCGCGAACTGCTCAAACGTCTCCTGAAGGGCCTGGGGTCGAGTCACGGCATGGGCGCCTTTTTGCCGGTAAAACACCTGTGGTCAGATAGACGAACGATGGACATGATCTGTTAAGGTTTATATTTTTTAGCTTTTGTAAGAGTTTTACTGCACTTGCAGCACAATTAGGTTATATAAGTTCCGAAGACTAGAGGTTTTACTAGATAGGTGTGTACAAAGAAAAGGAGGAGAGATAAGGACGATAGACGTTTGATAGAAAAGAAGGAGAAAACCACATCAGAGCATTCGCCAACCACCTAAAGATAGGATCATCATCATCATGATGATCATCATCATTATCACCATCATCAAATGCTAGATCCATGACAGGCGTTTGTGATTATGGTTCTTCATTCTTTTCTCTGCTCGGATGCTCTAAAAAAAACGACATTATCCTGATCTTTCCCCATCACCCACATGTTAAAGCTCTCTAAGTAGGTTACTCTGAGTCTACCCCTGCCTAGTCTGCTTTCACTTTTGCCAGTAAAAGTTCTACTGTAATCAAAATAACAACAACAACAACAACAACAACATCAGAAAACAACAAATACAACAACAACATCATCAAAAAACAACAAATACAACAACAACATCAAAAACAACAAATACAATAACAACAACAACAAAAACAACAACATTAACAACAACAACAACAACAACAACAACAACAACAACAACAACCACAACAACACCAATCAGCAACTACCTCGGCAGTAGTCAGCAGACCATCTAGAGCGTCCCTGAGTGTCCGTGTGATCATGGCCAGGAAATGTTTCTCCTCCGCCTCTGTCTCTCCCTCCTCAGGCTTCTCTCCAAACACCATGTACTTCTTGTCAAACTTGGCTGGCTTGCTGATGCGTCTATGTCTGTGAGAGAGAAAGATCATCGTCGTCGTCATCATCATCATCATCATCATCATCATCATCATCATCATCATCATCATCATCATCATCATCATCACCATCATCATCATCAACATTGCAGAAATAAAAGTGGAGAAGTGAATGA